TCTCAACATTTACCTCTGATTCTGAGATACTACTTTACCTAAGTGTAGAAAGATGCTTTTTAAGGATAATTTAATATAGCTTTGGCTTTTGCAGAAGGTTTATGTAAGAAATTGTTATCTGGAAAAATGTTGTACATATGCTACAAAATTTGTTTCTAAAGATAGTTTTCAGTATCTCATGTAAGGATCTAGGTAGCCAATTTTTTTCTTTCAGAGTGCCAGTGAAGAACAGGAAGCTCACACTGAATTTAGAAATGCCTGAATAGGAAAGTCTTCTTCGTTTATGCTCTTGTTAAATGATCTTCCTGTGTCAGGACCTAACACAGATCTGTTTAGAAAGTGACTAAAAATAGGCCAGCTACACTTGAACTCCAGATCACTTCTAACTACACAGAAATACAACACAGGATTACTATTCAGCCTTGAAGTTAATATGCTGCTTAGGGCACACACATTCCACACTGGAATTTCAGAATTTCAATCCAGGCTGTTCTCAATTTCACTTCCCTCCTAGTGCTCACTCTACGAGGCAGACGTGGTAACGGCTCCAGTAGCTGAGTCCCTGCCATGGGAGACCTACATGCGGTCCCAAGGTTCTGGCCTTGGCCCCTGGACAACAGGGGTATCTGGGGAGTGTACCAGCAGACAGGAGAGATCCATCCTGTACTTGTGGATGCCATGATTCGCTATCTGTATCTTTCCTCACCCTCAGCCTGTCAAGTAAATTAAAAACAAGTAAAAATTTTTAGAATGACCCCATACAGCTTCTTCTGTATCCCAGTCAGTGATCTTCCACTTGAGCCTTGTACAGTTCACCAGGAAGCAGAACAAGAGAATTTTCATTATTGAACAAACATTTGTGAATGCCTACCGAATGGTACATTTTGTATTGTGAGGTTAAGGTAATGTACCTAACTTTAGAGAACTCAAATTTTTTTACTTTTGCACTTCCTATCCATTAGAGGGTCAATGATTTATGCATACCCTGCTCAAATCACAGTTGTTACACTGGACAGGTTAATTCATTACTTCTTCATCTGTAAAACCATGGAAAATACCTCTTACCTTGGTTCCTCCAATGACTACCATAGTGCCTGATAAAGGTGTATAGTACTTAATGAATAGAAATTTCCCCTTTTCTTCTTCCTTATGTAGTGCAAATCTAGCTAACATACTCTGATTATGTTTAATGCTCGGCTAGAAGCTCCATAAGGGTAAGGACTCAAACCTTTGAGGTACTTGAAGAATGATGAGCAAATGCATGAATGAATACTGAATACTAAGAGGCAGTTATAGATTGTCTGTCCCAGGATTACTTTGATTTAAAATCAGAAAACACATCCACTATAATATCCCCCTAGGGTCTTCTGCCAATATCCATGTCCTTCTCCAGAAACAGAATTGAAAACAAAGCTCCATCTATGGAGCCCTTGCTCCGACTCCCAAAACTGATCTCAGTGACTTATTTTAAGCCAATTAACAGAGTCATCTGAACTTTATGTAACCAATTATGCAAAATGAAATAACTCACTCTGCCTTAATGAGATGAAAGTAAGTTTAGTTAATGACAGTATCAACCAATTAAAATAATTTACTTTCTACTTTTAAGTGACGGAAATTGAATATATCATATAAACACATTAACTGTTGACTAGAAGACCTGTTCTTTTCAAGTGGAATCACATGCTAAACTCACGCTCAGTGAGTTTCAGTTTAGTGTTATCTTTATTTTTGCCTAACAATAAATTTGGGTACATTCACTTCATTTTTAAAAATACCCTCACACTATTAAAATGCTTAATCAGAAAAACTGTGAAATACAAGGAATAAGGTATCCAAGCTAGAACGAAATTACAATCTATTGACAAAAATGACTTATTTTTCCTAAAACCTTTTCAAATTTCTCCTTCCTTCAGATAAAGTGGAAAAAAATTTCAATGTTTTTGGAAGGAAAACTAAGTAATGATTGAAATTGCTATTAGGATATCTGGGTACAGTGGGTGGATGTAAAATACAAATTGTTATGCACCATGTATTTATATAAATTAAAAGTAGTAATCTGAAGAAGTTAATATGGCAATGGGTAGAGTAAATCAATATACTTTTCCTAAATATATTTACTATTTTTAATATGGTTCACATTTGGATATTTTTGATCACTTATATTTTGTTTTGCTTTTTGTTTGTTTTAAAGATTTATTTACTTATTTGAAAGTCAGAGTTAGAGGAAGAGATAGAGACCTTCATTTGCTGCTTCACTCTCCAAATGGTCACAACAACTAAGGTTGGGCAGGCCAAAGCTAGGATCTTGGGACTCCATCAGAGTTTCCAAGTGCGTGTAAGGGCTACTTGGGCCATCCTCCACTACTTTCTCAGGCCATTAGCAGGGAGAGGGATTGAAAGTGGAGCAGCTAGGACAAAAACTGGTGATCATATGGGACACCAGTGCTGCAGATGGAGGGTTAACAAGAAATGTCACAATGCCGGCCCAAACTAATTGTTTTTGAAAACACAAAGAAAGCAATATCCAAACAGGTACTGGCAGCAAATATTTCAAGCGCCTTCATGTTAAGAACTGTGTAAAATCAGAGAATTGCTCAAATCCTCTGAGTAGCTGTGTGCACAAAACTGCACATGCAGCCAGTGCTGCAGAATGGCCGCTTAAGCCACTGTGTGTTCAGAATCCTTTACGTTTTTTCATTTAAAATTATTCATTTTTTCAATTTTAAAGGCAAAGGGAAAGCAGGCTTATGTCCGCAGCTTGATGCATTGCCCAAATACTAACAACATCAGGATGCCAGTCAAGCAGAGCCAGTTCAAAACTTAATCCGGGTTTTCCATGTTGATGACAGTCACCATTTGCTGCCTGAGCGCGTATCAGCAGGCAGCTCGAATCAGAAACTGAGCCAGGACTGGAACCCAGTCACTTTGCTATGGAATGTGGGCATCTCAAGGTTAGTTTTAATGACTGCATCAAATGCCTGATCTTGATTTTTTAAGCATATATTTATACAATGAAGTCTATAGTTCAGGATTATCAATAGTCCTTAAATGTGTAGAACCGAAAAGTCTACTACTAATTAAATATGCTTCATAAAACAAACATCTTAAATAAAAACTTTAAAAGTGTTGTATCTTAATGGTCACTCAATGATAATTCAATCCCTCTTAGTTTTCTATGCAGTCCGATATCCCTGAGCAGATGCCTTCTGTGTTCTCATGATACGGAAGATACAAGGAAACACATCACCAGTGTGAGGAACCAAATTATTGTTTCTTCATTCTTAGGAGGAAAGAAAGTGATCTCATAGATATTTACAGACAACCTGGTAGGTCTTTTTTGAGATTAAACAGGTGAATTCTATAATAACAAAGTAGAGCTAAAGTTTTATTAACAGATCAAAATGCAAAAAAAAATAATAATGTTCCTTTCCATTTCTTTTTTTCTCATATTTATCTGTAATTACTGGAAGAATCATGAGTCACTCCAATCAAATATCTTTTAACTTCAAGGAAAATCACTAGATCACTACACTTTTCTCATGTTTAACATAAAAAAAAAAAATCTTAACACATCGATCTCCATGGTCTCTTTGTAGTGAAATACTCTTGTTATATTTGAAGTTAAATGTTCAGGCAGATTAACACAGACTTATTTGCCCGTCCTAAGGTTATGCAATGCTATACACATAACAATTAATCAGAGGAGTAAGAATAAGTGTTAAAACTTTTAATTTATATAGCTTTTTCACCAGAGTTGGGGAAAGACTTATCCTTATAGATCTTGTACATCTTCAATGATTCTGGTGTTTTTCCTTGTTTTGTAGAACAAGCGTATCCTAAAATTTAGTGGTTAACAGGGGACTTCCTGGTTTATTTATTTTCTACATACAGCACATTAGCTGTGCTGAGTTATGAAATTAATATAAATCAAAGAATGCTTACCAGCTAGACTAAAAGATTATGAGGATTTTTGTAAGGGAGTGTCAGATTAAAAAAAAAATACCAATAAGGCAACCATTAGTGAATAACTAAGAAACTACCAGGACTGACGTACTTTAAAAAAAATTATTTATTGACCCTCAAATGGCTATAAAAGTCAGAGCTGACCTGGGCTGGACCCAGAAGTCAAGAACTCCATCTAAGTCTCCCATGTGGGTGGCAGAACTACCTTACTCAAGATCAACTGATTCCCTGGTGGAGGAGCTGGATGAGAAAAGGAACTTGACCTAGTACTCCCATGGGATACATGCATCGCTAGCAATGCACCACGATACCTACTGCCTAAAACTTTCTTGACTTAGAATATTTTTTTTTTACCAACATCCTTAGGCAGTAAAACAATAATTACTGAATTGTATTTGGTAGGGTGCAGTTCTCTGATCAAGAAGTACTAATAATATGCACTATCATTATATCTGAATCTTTCCCTCAGCACATTATGAGTCTTGAAGCATTTGCTAAAAATGACAGGACACACACAAAGTAAAGTAAGTTTTACACACACATACACGCACACATTTCTTTCCACTGATGGGAATATATGATGAACAAAGTTTGAGGCCTTATTTACAGAAAAACAGATGCAGCTGTTGGAAGCACTATGGTAGCCTAAGAGCAGAAGCTTTGGAGCCACACAGCTCTGTTCTGGAATCCCAGCTCTGACCCTTAACTGAGTGACTACGTAGTCTGGATGAAGTTTCTGAGGTTCAGATTTCTCATCTACAATGCCATGAAAATAACCTACTCATAGGGTTGCTAATAATATTAAAACTAAAGAATGTTAACTTCCTTCTGTCACTCGGAATTTACCCCACAGCAGGCAGCTATGGGTGTAGCAAGGGAAGACCGTTAAGAATAAAGCATGATAATAGCATTTTTATTATTTAAAAGTTGCATGATTTGTTTCTGCAAATGCATTACAATAATCTGTCCCACTATACACTCATCTCTTTTGGTTAAAATTTAAGGAATGAGTTAGTAACTTTTAGCAAACTTACCACATTAAAATCTAAATTTTCTTCAATCCATGCTTTTGCTTCTCGAAATTCATTTTCCATTCCCATAATAAAAAGTGTATCCAGAGCATCTACTATTGTTGCTCCTTTGATGGTGCCTGAAAATAAGAACATATATTCAGGAAAACACTTTCCACAAATACATAAAGGGAAACTTCAGAGAGTTTGCAAGAGACGGAATCGAAAGGCAAGTTCACTTTGGTGGAAAAATCTGTGAAATCCTTCCATTGTTTTTCCATAAAATACATTTTTCATAAAATTTCTGAGGTTTTCCTTAAAGGCATGAATATCCAATTTTTTTTAGCCATAGTGAATTTAGCTTTAATCCCATTTCGCCATAAATAAACAAAATATTGATTTGAAAGGCACAGCAGTAAAGAGAAAGAAGGGAGAAAAGGAAGGAGACAGAGCAGAGAACACATGTGTGTTCAAGAGCACACACGTATGAACACACCATACTGGAAAAGGAGCAGTCAGGACTCAAGCCAGCATCTCCACTGCAATGTCAGTATTCCAAGTTTTCAGTTTAACTCAACGCACTAACATGCGGGTCCTTCCGCAATTTTTTTTTTAGCAAGTTCTTTACACACAAACTGATTATACCCAAGAAATAAGGCAATACTGGATTTATTAATAAGTGACAATACTGAATGCTTTCTAAGCTTCTAGTGTAAGCAAATATAAAAAGTGTACTAAACTGAGCTAAAAATGATCACAGGCTATTGGCTGACATATAGTTGATAGCTTCTTATGACTTGCAGAAAGTGAATGTCTTCAAATGTGATTTATGATTGCATTCTCTAGTAAGAAAAGAATAATCCTAAAACAAAGAAGCAAAGCATATTTATATTAGTGTAATTAGATGAAATTATGTCTGTGAAAACCTATCTAAACATAATTTCTAAATATGAATTTATTTTGTGGCAGCTCTAAGAAATGAAGGACCCTAAACTGAAATTTCACCCCTCCATGAAACTTGACTGGTTTGGGTCCCTGATGCACCTTGACTCTGGTTTATTTCCTTTTAACTCCCTGCTGTGGAGACTCTGTATCGCTCTGACACTCACTTTGGGTCTTGTATTACAATTACTCGTGTGCCTATCTTTCACTTTGTAAATTACTTTAGAGAAAATAATTCACACTTTGTTCACCTGCACAGACTTCCTAATGCCCTACACAATTGTGACAGTGATGTCCAATTCATACCTGAGGAAAGACTGGGTACCAAACTTTCTGTAGATTGTGCTTCTCATAATTCAAGAGCCACTCCGTACATTCAAGTGGAAATCATTTTATTAGAGATGTGTTTCTGATATCAAAATGAGAAATTATTAGCAGAAAACTACAGGTACTGGAATATTTAAAAACTTACTTTAAAAGATGTAAACAGTGATTGTAAGACATTCCTAATGATTAGAAGAAAGCAACTAGAGTATATTCTTTAATTTCCTGACACATTTCGTTATAATTCCACTTTTCTTAAAAATTTAACTTTGGGGGATTAGAACTATTGATTTAAGGAGACACTCATGGGGATATTTTAAAGTGGAAATTTAAAAACATTAAACAACTTCATATTTTCATTAACACCTCACTTCTCAAACATTAAGTGCTTTAAATACATGTTTTCATTTCTTACATTTTAACTTTGCATTGACTACAATTGGTTAAGCATAGAATATCTCTATGAAGTACAATTACAGGTGAAATATTTTTGATCCCTTAAACTTTGAAATAACAGTTCTAGTTTCCTATTAAAAGAACTGGGAGGGCCCAGCAGCGTGGCCTAGTGGCTAAAATCCTCGCCTTGAATGTGCTGGGATCCCATATGCGTGCCGGTTCTAATCCCGGCAGCTCCACTTCCCATCCAGCTCCATGCTTGTGGCCCGGGAAAGTAGTCGAGGACGGCCCATATGCCTTGGGAACCTGCACCCGTGTGGGAGACCTGGAGGAAGTTCCTGGATCCTGGCTTCGGATCGGCATAGCATGGGCTGTTACACTCACTTGGGGAGTGAATCATCGGATGGAAGATCTTCCTCTCTGACTCTCCACCTCTCTGTATATCTGACTTTGTAATAAAAATAAATAAATCTTAAAAAAAAAAGAACTGGGAGAGCATGAATGTGTTCTTATGTTCATGTTCATGAAAATTGTTTAATAAGCTGACCAATTTTATTTCATGAGAACTAGATGAAAGATTCAACATAACTGGTTACGAATGCCCAAGAGAAAGAAGCATCCTTGAAGAGCTCCTTACGGACTAAAGGCTGTGAATACTCTCTCCAACAAAACAAAACAAGATTGCACACTGTTTTTAAAGTCAAAACATCATGGCAAACTAACAGACCATTTTGAAGCTATATGATAAAGAAGTTAAATTTCTCTTTTCTACCTGATTTTCCAAAAGACTATACAGGAATGCATACTATTCACAGATTAAAGTTGGCTGAGAAGTAGGTTAAGGAAGTCATTTAAAATTCATTCAAAAGTTGCCCATCACACAGATGACTGATAGGACAATGCAATAAATATACACAATGAACTATTTAGCCATTAAAAAAAATGAAATTCTGTCATTTGCGGCAATACCGATGGAAGCAGAAGGCAGTGCATGAAGTGAAATATGTCAGGCACAAACACTGCATACTCTCTTTTGTATGTAGAAGTTAAAATGTCTATTTCATTTAAGTGGAGAGTAGAACAGCAGTTATCAGAGCCTGAAGGGTGGGAGGCAAGGGAAGAAGGAAAGAAAAAAACGAATGGATTCAGGGGTGCAGTTGGATAGGATAATTATGGGTAGCCATAACTGACCATACATGTCAAATCAGTGGCGAGAGAATTTTGAATGCTCCCAGCAATGAGCAGTGTAAATGTTTGAGATGAAGGATACGTTAGCCACTCTGACCTGACCCTTACACATTCTACATATGTACTGAAAAGCTGCAAGTACCTTATCAGTATTCACATTTATTATGTCAGTCCAAACAGAAAACACCTCAAAAATAATTTTTCTCATCTGTAAAATGAGAACTTCATATTCTTTGTTGTTATGTCCTAATACGTTGGTGCTACTATAACAAGGAAAATTTTTATGTATCCTATGTTAATTTGAAGATGGAGTGGGACAAATAGCACTTGAATTATTGATATCTCATTTCCTTATACTAATATTGAAAGTGCTTTTTTCTTTGAATAGCAAGTTCTCATCTGGATTATTAATGCTTTTACCGAAAAAAATCAATCAAAATCGCAAAACAAAAGAAGCCTTACAAAAGAGACTAGAATATATTTAAGAATCTGTTGTAAATTTAAAGTCATCAATGTATAAAAAGACAAGCAAATAATCTCTTGGATAAATGGATAAACATCATAAAAAACTAATATAAAGCTATTTTTAATGGTATAAACACACAGAAAGAAAAGCAAAAATGAAGATAGATTTTTTTTAGAAAAAATATTATTATAAATAATGATAAAATATAGACTTCTGGTTCATCATGAAGCTCTAGTTTCTCTCTGAAATTTCTACCTCTGCTAACCCACATTAACAGGTCACTGTGTCTTGACAGCACTACTCTGGCAACATCTGAAACCTCTCCCACTAAACTCCTCCAAGGTTGGGCTCCTTCTCATCTCTAAGTTATGTCACTGGACTGACCAACCAGCCTCTTTCATTCACACATCCCAGTCTTACTCCTGCAACATTCCCTGACCACTGTGATAACCTTTGTCTCCTCAGAACTTTGTGGAAGTATCTACAGATCTACCTTAGAGCTGTGACAACTCACTATTTGCACATATAAGAACACTTCAAAAAGTGTGTGGAAGATGTGCATCATGGAAAAAAAATACACATAAATCTCATTTTTTTTCAACAAAGTAACATCTTCTCATTCCATTTTCCACAAACTGTTTTGAAGTCCCATTGTAGGTGTTCTAGGTCAGGCCGCAAAATCTGACAATACTTCTACAATTTTCATTAACAGCAGTGCCAGAAATAGAGCTAAATACATGGAAGGTCCAAAATATAGAAAAGTATGGTGCCATGATTAACAATACATACTCTGGGGCTATCCACATTGGGGTTCAAGGCTTAGCTCAACCAGTTAGTGGACGGCTATTTCTCAGAAGGCTTTTCTCTGATTCTTTATCTTCACTATAAAATATATGTTATATTGAGGTTAAATAAGATGATATATGAATACCATCATGTTTTAGCTCAACATGTTATGTGTTATATAATGTATGCGATTACACATACAATAATACAATTAATAAGTATAGATAGCTATGTTTTCTCTAGGTGAACTCAGTAGTCTTAAAATAAGGCTTTATTTCTTTTATTCCAGTACTTACACACAAAATTTGGGGGGCTAGAAAGAGATGAAGTGCCATGAGAAGGGGACTTGGTAGATGTGTCTCCAAGAATTCATCAAACCCTCTGTTTCTTAGATTTTTGACTTCCATATGGAACATTGTTTAGTACGCACAGTACCACTTGCAGAGGGAGCTGTGAGAGTAGTATGTATTAAGCACTAAAAAAGTGTATACACAGAAGTTCAAATAACTGGTGGAAATCATCCTCACCTTTTCTTCCAGGTTCAAAAAGGAGAAATCCACAGCCAAGGTTGATCACCTCAGTGAAGGTCACCAGTGAGGCTCACCTCAGGTGGCTGCCTATGCAACAGCAATGAACACAGCTCACCTTTGTTGCTCTACTGGGCATGACTCCAGGAGCTAAATGTCCTGATGCTGTACTCCGCACCCTTGCAGGCAGAGTCCCTGTAAGTTTCACAGGACACACTGAAGCACAGCCAGCGTAACACCTGCGCTCACACTGTGCAGTCCTTGCAGACAACTTCATCAGGTGTGCAGGTTGCCTAACGAGATGTCCTAGAGGGTTATCTTAGCACACGGACATCACCATCACTACCTGTAAGCTCAGAAAAGATACTATACCCAAGAAACAAAAGCAAGTTTTACTTACCAAACAAACTGCTTGAATGGCCTTCTTTAGTTATAGGTTTTAGTTCATTTAATCCCCAGGCATAGCGTTTATAACTATTCCAAGCATGTTCCATCATCTGAGAAAAGAAATGAAAACAGCATTATAATTTTAATGGCTTTTGCTAGAAAACAAAGCATATAATGAAGATTTAAAGGTTAACACATAAAATTCATGCTTAGTTAACAAGATGATGATTAATTAAAAGGGTGATAATGAATAAGTAAATCAGAATAGGTACATGCACACACACACACAAAAAAACATACACCAATACATTATCATTTTCTGTTTACAAATGAATATTTTTCATTTTTTACTCCACTGATACTATTTCCTACACATATTTATTTCAAAACTCAGTACCCAACTCAGAAATCCAGCTAATCCTAAAAGGAAGAATTATTCCTACATTTATCTAATTCACTCTCCATAATGAATTAAATCTGCAAATAATATATTTTAAAAATTTATGTTTGAAAATTCATTTATTTGAATGGCAGAGAGAGAGAGATGGAGAAGAGAGAAGCTTAGTCTTCTAATTCATTCTCTGAATGGCTACAGCACTAGTCTAGGTCAGGCCAGTCCAGGAAACAGAAACACCATCTTGGTCTCCCATAAGGATGGCAAGGACCCAAGTACTTGGGTCATCTTCCTTACCTCCCAAGGTGCATTAGTAGAAAACTAAATTTGAAGTAGAGCAGCTGGGACTCAACCAACACAATAATATGGAGACCAGTACAGGCTTAACCAGTTCACTCACAACACCATCCCCAGCCCCCTAAAATTTATATTTTTATAAAAACTTCTGTTTTGCTGACCTCTTAGTATACAAGCTAACATTGAAGCTTATCGCCTTAAATATTTTGATGTTTCTTGACCAACCTATTTATGGAGACACATTTTAAAATACATGTAGGAAATAAAAATGAAACTTGATGGCTATACCTAGTTCAATTTCCTATGATTAAACTTAAATTGTATATGTGTGTCTGCTTATTTGTGTATGCAAATGAAGCTTGAGTTGATTCCATATATTCCAAACTGAGAACCTACAACAACAGTGTTTTTAAAGGCCAAATGTTTCTACCACAAATTAGTTGCATAAATCATACTCAATGACTCAAATGATACATATAATTACATTTGTACATCCTTTTTAAAAACAGCTGCAGAATCCTGATCTATCTAGAGTTTATTCATTCCACTATCAGCAACAGGGATCAAAATACGGAAATAAAATAAACATATTGTAATTTCGCTCCATATTCACAGGCTCCTTCTTATTATTAAAATCCATAATGAGTTTCATACAATGTTATGAATAACTGCCTTGGTATGTTTTTGAACACAATAATAAGAATCTTTCACTACTGCCTATTATTCTACTATTGTCACTACCAACAGTAAGAATCTGTAATATTTGCTGAGAACTTGGTTACCTGTTCTGCCTTCAACGTTGTATGCATTCTGTCTACAACTCTATGAAATATCTTTCCTTACTATGATCTGAAAAAAATTAAGAAATTATGGCTTACACGTTAAAAATGGCAACATCATAACTTTAGCAAAGTCACAACATTTGTCTACAACCAAGGAGGCAGGATTCATTTACTCCAATGCTGACCTGACTCCCATTAGCCAATATACTGCATCATCTTCCTTTTTAAAAAATTTATTTATTTTTATTGGATAGTCAGACATACAGAGAGGAGGAGAGACAGGAAAGATGATCTTCCAACCATTGATTCACTCCCCAAGTGACTGCCAACAGCCGGAGCTGAGTCAATCCAAAGCCAGAAGCCAGGAGCTTCTTCCAGCCCTCCTGTGTGGGTGCAGGGTCCCAAGGCTTTGAGCGGCCTTCGATTTGCTTTCCCAGATCACAGGCAGGGAGCTGGACGGAGCTGCGGGATTAAACCAGTGCGTATATGGGATCCTGGCATGTGCAAGGCGAGGACTTTAATCGGTAGGCTACCATGCAGGGCCCCATCATGTTCCTTTAATGAATCAGCAACAGAATTTTCCTTTAATAGATTGTTTATCTTCCAACAATCAGAAAATGTCAAAGAATTTTTTTCTTACAAGTTAACTTCCTTAAAAAGTTTAATAGATTTGAGGGCAAAATAATCTATCGGATTTATAATCCACAAGGCCATTGATCAATCTCATACCCATTCACAGTCATACTTCTTGTGAGGTTCTATTTCCTCATCTGAAAAAATGGGAATAATTACTCAAAGGGTATATAGAAGGATCAAACAAGATGGGTTGTGTTTTTGTAGCTAGCATCTACCTTGATGGATGTCACACAGTTACATGTTTATTAAATTTAAACCTGTACTGAAATTATGTTACATGAAAAAGAATAGAGATCAATAAACCTCTGAAAGAACAGGTATATGAAATTCAGAAAAACTGCATTAGACTATCTGAGATTTTTTTCTCATTGACTACTGCAGCCATAGACTCAATGATTTGAAGATGGCAAAAACTTTTTTCAAAGAAGACCAAGTTGCATTAAAAATAAAAACAAAAACGGTCATTCATACAATGAACCACTGGCATAAAATGTCCCCTTTAAGTTATCTCTGTAGTATACATGAATTTATTTCCCCTACCCCTAGCGAAAAATCTGATCCTAACTGCTTAGAGCCTTACGTTTCAAAAGCTGCTGTGACAAGTTTTTCAAAAAGCATTCCTCTTCCTGTGGGATTCCTATGAGTTAAATTCACAAAGAAATGAGGGATCTGTCCTGAATGGAGCATCAGGAATGCCTTGTCAGGTAATCTGTAAAGCCAAGGGGACAGTGGTACTGTTCCCTGATTCCACTGGCTGATCACCGCGGGAAATGATTCACCTTATTAAAGCTAACTACAAGATACCAGCTGTGTCCCTGCGTGCATACAGAGTAACAAGCCAGCCCGATTCACAAGGCACAGCAGACTGGTTCACTCAGATCTATGAGTTATACAAATATCTGAAAACAGCAAAATACTACCAGCTTCTAATTGCACGTCAGTTCAGGAAGCATGCAGATGAAGGCATTTATTCTCTCCAGACTCATTTCATACGCTGAGAAGACAACAAGGTCACTGCTAAAACTCAATTATTAACAAAGAAATCAATGGGTAACAGTGATCGTCCCCTTCCCTTTTGCAGGCCCCCTAATTTTTCTAGTCTTTCATCAACTTAATTAGGGTTTTACAGTTTGACATACCAAGTAGAAGGATTAAAATGGGCTTAAACTAGGAGCTGATTAGAACTTCAAATGCGGTAGTAAAAAAATGAAAAAGTAAGAACTGAGAGCAAATCAAAGATATTTTTCTGCATATTTATCTTTGCACTGCTGGAGTGGATCAGTAACACTAACAAGAGCCGATGGCATAAAGCTTCCAACAGCAATCTCTCATTTTGAAACAGAAAAGATGCAATTAGGCAGAAGATGCTAAATAAAATGCATTACTTCTTCCTGACTCTCTGCTTATAGAAAAGATTCTTCAAGTTGTATTTTATTATCAGTTGACATGAGCCTGAGTAATTTAGCCAATGTCACTTACTGAGTGTCTGCTACACTATGAATAGTCAAGTGCTAAAAGCCCAGAGCGGAAGTGAGCGAACAGGACTACTTCTTGCTATAATCAAATAGATAAATGGAAGCTTAACATTATACAGTCCAAAAAATGTATAAATGTAGGTAAGCAGTAAGTGAATTAAATGTTGTATATAATTCTTTGTCTTACCTAACAATTCACTTCAAACTTAATGTTCTGACTCAAAGACAGTAGAAAAAAGTATACTTGAATTTCCCAATATTTCATTTTTGTTGTTATAAACTATCCCTAGTAAATATTTTATTAGCTGAAACTTTAATCACATTCAAAACAAATACATTAAAATCTTTTGGAAAAGCTTACCAGTTTTGACAGATAGATCTTACAGAGACTTTGGGCTCTCACTGTTCTTTTAAGGAAACCTATGAACTCAGTTCCCACTTACAGCCTCCTTCTGGAGTGTTTTATGAAATATTATCATAATTCATAATGTGACCTGAACTCTAGCTAAATGATCCAGAGTCTGGTGCCTGACCCAAAAGCAGACAGCTGAGGGCTGGCCATGAACCTCCAATTTGAGGCATCCTGGAGAGGAGCTCTCACTGATGGTCAAAGTTGGACTAGCCCAAGTATTACTCTGCCTAAAATTAATGGGAGACAGTCATAGAGAATTGGTGGTTGGATGGGCCTGGTGCGGCAGTTTACAGGTTAAAGTCCTCGCCTTGAACGCACCGAGATCCCATACGGGTACAGGTTCTAACCCTGGCAGCCATGCTTCCCATCCAGCTCCCTGCTTGTGGCCTGGGAAAGCAGTCAGGGACGACCCAAAGCCTTGGGACCCTGCACCCACATGAGAGACCTGGAAGAGGCTCCTGGTTTCAGATCAGCGCAGCTCTGGTTGTTGTGGCTGCTTGGGGAATGACTCAATGGATGTAAGATTTTCCTCTGTCTCTCCTCCTCTCTGTATACCTGATTTTCCAATAAAAATAAATTAAATCTTAAAAAAAAAAAAAGAATTGGTGACTGGAGCGTGCTGCAGAAGCAGAGAAATGAAAATACACAAAGTGAAAAAGCATAAAAAGGAGTCATGAGGCAACTGAAGCCCTGAGGGAAACAGAAGCCAAGGAAGAGTAAAGGCAGGCTGAGCGAGAGCCTGGAATCAGGTGCTCAGTCATCGCAAGGTGCACCCGTGGAATTATGTGAAGTCTCTAGAACAGCTCTCGAAATACGAACAGTGCTGTTGATGCTTAAATGCTGATGGATTATCTTCCGTTAGTCTGCAAGGAGTGGCTCTTTGCCTGCTGCCGTGTTGATGCTCCCAGGAGTCATTACAAAAAGCATTCTCAGCTGGGGAGTGCCACACAGGAGCAGGGCACGGGGGTAGGCCTCTGACAAAATAGGTTCATAGGCAAGCTCTGCCAGCACAGCTGTGACTTGACATGAAGCAATTCCTCGCTCTGCGCCCATTCTTTGCATTTATAAAATGTGAGTTAAAAAAAGCACTGGGACTTCTCTGTCTCCATAAAAC